CACACCGGTGTCGTGCAACAAGGTAATTTGTCAGTCCCTTAACTTCAAAAAGCTGATACCTTGTAATGACTTAAGCCCCGAGCTCTGTGGGAGGCCGTCATGCACCTTGCATGTTTTCTCGCTCGACATCTCCAGTTTCCTTCATTCTCTACGATGCTTTAATGTGGTGTGGGCTCTCAGTTCACCAACCCTCACTACATAGCTGGGTTTGTTAAAAACCACTAAATAGTAAAATAATACATCATACCTTAACTGCACACGTAGGAGGAGGTTTCTACACGAAAATAAATGTTTGGACCTATGGAAGCTCTAAGGGCCTCCTGAAAAGACCCTGAAGAGAACCCTCAGTATCTCAACCATGTGTTCCTCCCCTGCACAGGTAGGCGAAGCTGCAGGGCCGCACACAATTTGTGATTCACATTTAGAAAATGGATTTCAGGAGAGGAGTGCGGAGGAGGGATGACGTACAGTTGGCAACGCGGGACGTCCCACACTTCATTTGGGTTAAACTAATGCATTTTTTGACCTACAACACAAAACTGCGCTGGGCTTTACCCTGATTTACTGGTTCAACTGCTTTCATTTGAGCACGGCTACTCCTTTTTTTTAGTAAAGCTACCAATTATAAGGACACACGAATTTTGTTCGTAATCCCATGTGAATAGAAGGCAAAGGTAAAATGTCAAGATATTTGAGTGTGAGTTTAAGTGATTGTGAACAGTATTTACTTTCTCTTATTGGCCGCTCGATGGATCGGTTAAATGTAACTTCCGTATGTTTCATCCTTGAGATGGTTTAATCAATGATATTCCATTCAGACTTCAGAACAAGACTTTGTAAGACATAATAACGAAAAGTCAGAGGTTGTGAAAAGGAAAGACCAAATGTTTTGCTCTGTTTCCGTAATGTTGTCCGACACTCGTGAAAAAAGGTCTTTTTAGTAGATTCTGCCACTGGGTTACGTTCATTGTACTGCCGAGTGAAACTAATTGAACCAAATACACGGATACAACAAAGTAAACTTCCACCATCGTTCGTTCGTCGTGCACTTAACGAAAGCTTGCACTCAATACACTGAAGGACGCTCATAATCCCAGGTATGGAATTCTTTTAGTTTCTAAGTAGTTTTATGTGAGAGCAACAGCTCACGGCTTAAAGAAAGAACACATGAACAAGATATAGACAGATGACAGATCTGATCACAATAGTAAATAACATTTCAGCACTATTTATAGAGAAGATAGTGCCTTGAATGTCTTATACCTAATAATCTCACAACATTAAAAGAGATTAACCCATTTGTAGGGATATTTATGTATTTGCTTTAGTGGGATAAATGATAGAGACATGTTTATGTGAAGTTCAACCCCAAATGATCCAGTAAGATCTCAGCATGCTTCGACAGTGAGACTGCATCAATTATATTTCATCTTATCTTCCAAGCTGTCTAAATTTAGCGTAAGGTGACGCAATGCATCACATAGTTCTTTGAGGGGAAACGGCGTAAGGCATGAGCAAGAACAACATCAGCCATATCAAAACCTGCATGGGCGTGGAGCGGTCCAGCCCTTTTCTCGGTGGGTGGAGGTACCAGCCTGCCTTCCCTTTGTACATCTTACATCTGGAACGGGCACATTTTTCCCTCTTTTTTTTCACAAATAACATCTGCAGCTAAAAAGCCAGACAGGTAGTTAGAGTTGATTGGTCATGGATGGATTTTCTCTCTCTCTCTCTCCCCTCTTTCTATGTTCCTCTCTTTCTCTCTCCCTCCCTTTTTTCTATTCTACAAAGCCCAGAGGCTAGTATTTCACTGATTACAGAGTCCCTCCATTTGAATGGTCGTTTGTGTATTGTCAGAACAAAGGGGCGAGCGGCCTCTGAAGAGGTGCTAGACAGGGGAATGGATTGGGCTCAGCGATTAGGATGAGTGGAACTGCAGGTTCAGGCTAGCTTTGCCGGAGCAGAGAACGGCTCAAGGAGCGACTCGACTCCCAACTGCCGGGGGACCTTTCTCCACTGGGAAAAAGGGGACTTTTGTGCACCGGCCGCACTCCAGTGCGACTTATTGTTGAGGTTAAATTGTAAAGGGGAGAATCGGGGACGTCGAGAGAGCGCCGACTGACCCCTCGTATTCCTTTTGGATTGGGTTTCTCTCTCGGTCCAGATGCAAAAGAGGAAACCTCTGTCGTTGATTTGTCGTGAACTGTTCATCGTAACCTGAAAGCAAACATTTAGTGGCATATGTTAGCCTGAAACAAGAGATGGGCCAGCAGTAAAGCAAAACACCTCACTCTGCCCAAACCGGATGCCATATATTTGTCCTATTTAATGAGGCTGTGTTCAAAGGCTCGGACACGTTTCATCAAACAGGAAGTAATTGATTAGAAGCAAAAACTGTGGACTTTTTTTCTGCCGTTTCCCGTCTTTCATCTTTGAGAAGCTGCAAACCTGCTGAATTTAGCTTTAAAAACACGCACAATGGCCTCAAATATGGGTGTGAAAAGGCTTTGAACCAAATACACAAAGACCTGCTTTAATTCCAAAATGTTGTAATTGACAGATGGAGTGCAGGGTCTTTAACAATATTGGAAGTGCCATTGTTATCATTCAAAATTCCAAACTGACTTTGAGAGAGTTGCACAAGATGAGGCCAATGGTGTGCGTTTCCCCAACAGACCAGTCGCACCTGAGGAAGTTCTTTTCAGACAGCTCGGTAATCAGATAAACATTAGCCTGACAGGTCTCTCCTTTGAACACTCACTTAGTACTTCTCACCCCGAACATTAAGCTAATGACTTAAAATCAAAGTCCTTATCAAATTATGTGGGTGGGTCCGGGTCACACTCTTGGTGGGCTCCAACATCCTTTTGATTGTAAAGCGTCACCTTTCTAAAGCTGTTTTAAAGCTGTTTTTTGATTTACTGTCGGCCTTTGTGCCGTTAATGAGATCTGAAGACGGCCTTTCATCAAGGGCTGAAGATGCATTTCAAAGAACACGCTAGGTGTTGTCTTAAAAACGGTCCAAAAATCAGCCCCTCTGTGAGAATTAGTCAAACCATTCAGCCAGTTTTTGAGTCTCAGAGCAATTTTGTGCCACATTACAGACAACCAGCCCCTTAATTAGATAATTACGGCAATCCAAGAAAACAATTATGGGGTCGTCGAATTCCGGGAGGAAAAACAAATTTAAGAGCTGACAAAGAATTACTTACATCATTTGACTTCCCAGTCTTTCACCGCCGGTCCAGCCAGCTCTGAAGGCTTATTATGTCATTAAGGCACTCACATTGTTCAGCAAAAAAAGTCTGAGAAGCGAGACTTTTTGATTGCCTCAGCTCGTCCAAGAGACCCAACGTTTATCCGTCAACCCCCGGGCCAAAAAAGACCTGGAACACCAGGGGTCTGACGGCTGGTTGTTATTCAGCTGCTGCTCCGTGACACATTCTGGCACTTTCTCTGCACCGAGCGACGGCCAGAGAATTTTTGTCAGAGCGAGAAATAGTTTAGCGATGTCTTCGAAACGCATGTAGTCACAAAGTTGTTTCACGTCTTAGCGACAAGAGAGCAACAACTCTGGACTCCCCGCTGGACTGGAAGGAGCGGAGTCGTCGTTAATGTCCAACAGCCTGCTGAATTGGGGGAGGTTGGCGGTGTTTGGGGGGGCATTTCACATGTTCTGCATGCAGAGCGGCACTCAGGGATGATTTGTCGAAGAGCGAAGCTTTCATTTTCACCCTTCCACTCCCACGGCCTCCCCCCTGCCCCAGAGGAGCGCCCGCACCCACATTCTCCGGCCTCCTCCCTCTGAGGCAAAACCCTAAATGGCCCTTAATGACTCCATGCAAACAACGTGTGACGGGGGAGAAATTACTAAAACACTTTGTTTCTTTCTTTTTTTTTTATCTTACTCCTTAAGGTAGTACTTGAAAGGTCTCCTAGGTAGCTGCCCCCTCCCTCCCCTGGCTCCTCTCCCTGTCACCCTCCGCAATGTCAAGGTGTCGCGACCCCGTTACGACCCAAACCCGCGTTAGCCGCTGGACTTCAGTAGCCCCCGGGAGAGCGCGGGCGACGGTGTGAAAAGGGATGTGTGTTCATTGAGGGTGGAGGGCGGCAGGGTCAGCATATCCTAATGGGGTGAGGCTGATTCCAGTGAGAGGAGAGGAAGAGGGCCGTCCCGTTTAGGTCTCACACGCTTGTCGGCCTGTGACTTCTAGTTTGAGGAAAAAAAAGGGCTTCTGGGTGGCTTATACGAGTCAGTGGTCACCCCTCGGCATCAGTCGCCTCACCTCGGGAATAGAATGGGACACACACACACACACACACAGCTACCCACCCCACCTTGGCGGACCTGGCACCCCTCCTTTCCTTTAAGTCAATACGTCCGTGTCAGAGATGAAAGTGCAAAGTGGGAGGGACGCGGAGGGGGTCCTGACACTAATGTAGTACATTGGGCTTCACTTACTGATCTGCCAAGTTCTTTTGTCAAGCGCTAAATGCCTGCCAGAGGCCCTTTGAACCGCCGAGCGCTCGCCCGCCTTCAGATGCGAACTCCCTCGGCCTCAATGAGAGGTCCTCGGGGACGTTCCCACAGCCCCGTCGCCGTCGACACTCATAGCTGCATGGCGCCGCGCAAGGTGTCGAATCTCAAAAGCCCCCCGAAAAGGAAGCCCGGGGTTTTTGTTCGAAAAAAAATCATGCGCCTCTAAAAAGTCCCATTTGTTTTTCTCATCAAAATAAATATAGAATTCCCGTATGCTGGGGGGGGGGGGGGGTAGGGGGGTCATTCCGGGCCCCCGTTTGAAGCGGTCGGTTCCTAAAGCACTTTGGTTGGCAGCCGAGCACAGCGGGCCAGGTAAACTAAGACCTTTAACTTGCTTGCTTGTTTTTCTCACTCCCTCACTCTTGTCAGCTAATCTGGGTGGGTAACCTTATCCCAACTCTTGAGTGCCCCCCCCCCCCCCCCCCCCCCCCCCCCCCTCCCCTTGCGCCCTCCCTTCCCTCCCTCCTCCGAGCCCCAGAAACTAGACTGAAAAAGCTCTCCCCATTCATAAAGCTCCCTGTTGTTATTGCTCGACCAGCAGCATTCTGCACTTTGATTGATTCTTGGCGTTTTATCTTTTTCTTATGGTGACAATTTGTCGGAGGATCGACTCCTTTGACTGATGTGTCAACATGTAGTTTTCCTTCCTTTTTAAAGGGTCAGTTCAACCAAATTGAAAAAAAAAAAAAAAGTGTTTTGTCAGTTACTCACATCTCTTGCAGGCAGATTTTAGTTCCTCTGGTTTGAAGTTTTTGCCACCAAACGGAGGTTAAATGGAACTACTCATCAATTACATTTTGTAATTGGTAATAAATGGTAAAAATGGTCCACACAGTTTATTAGAAGATTTATTTTATTTTTTTATTTTTACTTGTCCTAGATGAGACCTTGCATTTGACCTCGTGCCGCTCCATTAATGCAACAGAAGTGGTTTTCTCTTGTTAAATATGCAGATAAACAAGGTAACACGGAAACATAGTCATAAGAAGTCAGTTTAGGTTTCGGGTTTACTAGCCTACTTTACTTCCTTTGGTGCCACATCGTAGTTTACGCTTCTCCAATAAATCTGGCCCTCTGGTCCCCGACTGGTTGAAAACCATCATGAAACCATGACATGGCTGAAACCATCCAAAACGGGTTTTCTAGCCTTATCTTCCCATTCTCTTAAGACTGTTACAGTGACAAAAGTCCTCTCGAACGCAACCCGGATGGTCCCTTTTGGCCCCCCGAGCGAGCAGAGGTACGTTCCCTCCTCCTGGTGAGTCACAGGGGGCCACGTCGAGCCTGCTGCTGCGCGCTCTTTTCCCTCGCCTGTGGATTTACAGTCATGCTCCGAGAGGTTTTGTCACAAACATGTACTTAAGAGGCGATGAGTGACTGCACAATGCTGGCTCCTTCACAGTCAGTGTGGTAATTGCTGTTTTTTGCGGCGCTTTCTTTAAATCAGTTGTCGGGTGCTTTTTGTTTTGAGCTTTCAGAGAAATCTGGATCGGTGGCGAGCGGCGGCTAACGTAAAGCCTGTTTGGATCAAACGGGAACCGAAGCCTTGTGTTTGTAAAGAAATCTCCCGTGATAATTACTATTTGCCTGTTATTTCCATCCCTTAGGCAGAGAAAATTAGTCATGCTTTTAATGACATTATGCATTGGTTGTGTTAGAGGGCTTATTAAAGTGCATTGTGGTTGACAGGATCAAGCCTTCTTGTTCAGCAGGCAGACATGAATCACGGGGTAAATCCACATCAACCCACTTTATCCACTTGGTACTTGCTCAGAACACAAACGACTTAACTTGTCATTGGAAATCGTAACCAATCAGATTAAGCCTTCTCACAGAAAAGCCTTGAATTCACTTTTTGATTCCTGCAGAAATGGTGATATTTTAATATATTTTTCCCTTTTCTTTAACGGATGGGAGGTTTTGTATGTAATCATTTAGATTCATTCTGGATATCAATGGGACAGGAATGCCGAGGATCCAGTTTTAATGGGACAATAAACTCAAACTCTTTTTTTTTCTTCTTTCTTAATGGCGGCGGGGATGTGGGCTCGCTTTACTGCTGTCAGCTCGTAAACACATTCACACCTCTGCTTCATTTAAATGCGGTATCAGTTATAGCACATTATTGGGAAAAAAAAAAAAAAACCCGAGGTCGACACCAACATACATGTGAATGGTGTCTGGGAGAGACGAGGCCAATCCACAAAGAAGGAGCTCTTCAAATAACACACAGTTTCTGTAGCTGTTACGCACGACAACTCGGTTCATATTTCACACTTAACAGCATCTTGTTTATTAGTGTAAAGGCCCTTAATGTAATGGAAACGGCAAGTGTGGTTTGGCAATAAATAAAAACAATCAAATAAAAACAAAACTCATGGAAGAGAGGACTCATTTAGTAGTTTATTTGCTTGTTTGCAGCATCCAAATACATCCGTTTATTAAGCGAAATCCAATGTAGTCGTTTCCCAAACTTTCTTTGGGAATAAAGTATTCAATTAGTATCGCGAAGCAGTGACTTCATGCCCTTGATGTCCTCTGCGCAGCGCGTCGCCCCCCGAGAGGAGCAGCAGATCTTTGCAGGCTGATGGTCTCCTCGGGATTACCCTATCAGGTGCAAACCGCTGACATGTTTCCACCCACCAACAACAAAAAAGCCTCTCCGTGCCCAAATCTCCAGCCGCAGACGCGCAAACACCACTGACAGGCACTGCTGCGCCATCACCAGCAGCCAGACCTCTCCAGGGATCCGCCGCACAGTCTTTCGCACAGCTTTTCTTCCTTCTCCTGCTTGTTTGGTTTTTTTTAAAGCACACATCTTGCCTGCTTGGATCAGTTAGCCCACTTTTAGCGACTTTTTTTTCTTCTTTTTTTTCTTGGTTCACGGCTTTTAACTTTAGCCGCCGCAGCACTCGGTAGAATAAAATGACCCACGCAAGGTGTAGAAATCCCCCGCAGGTACGGACGGAGCTGCGGAGTCTGTGATCTCTGGATTCCGATCGTTTCCGCAAAAACTGGAAGGATATTTTTTTTTTGATGGAGGTTGTTTTTTCTTCCTCTTAGAGAAGTTGAATTTTGAATCCTCTTCCACGCTTGGCACCGGTTTGCGGAGACGGGTTTCGGGGGGAGCGGAGGAGACTGAGCTGTGAAGAAAAAAAAAAAACCAAATCTTCTGGATACCCCCCCCCCCCCCCCTCCTCCCAACAAGGAAACACCTAATGTTGCACTCCATGACTCTGCTGCTGCTCTCCAGTGATCTATCCTTACGCTGGGATTCAATCTCCTACTTGCCCCCGGAGTTGTGTGCGTAAAGGACGCGCGGGGGAGCGAGCGAGAGAAAGAGAGAGAGAGAGAGAGAGAGAGAGGGGGGTGATCTCGCCAACCTTTCCCGGGGCTCTAAATCTGTGGAAGCAGGTGTATTTCTGCGAGTCAAGATGTCTGCGCTGCCTTCGAGGTTCCTATACTTGTAAGTGTTCCACATCTCCGTTTGCCCTTTTCCCCCCCACGTCAAACATCGTGCATTCTTACCAATAGAAGTCGCCAAAAAGCTTCGCGTTTGCGCGTTACTTTCATCCAGGTAGGCTGCGTTTGTTCTTCATGTAATCGCTTCATGTGATTAAATTCACTCCCCTCTTGTGCCTTCTCTGTCTTTCTCCCTCCACATAGGTGCTTACACTTTCTGGTACTCTACTTCCAGCTCCAGGTATGTCCACTCCCTCGATCAACTCCTTTTGAGTGTGTGTGTGTGTGTGTGTGTGTGTGTGTGTTTGCATGTCACTGCAGCTTTTACCTTTTTGATGTGGTCCCTACAAATGCACATTAATTCATGCATATTAAATCAATGGGTCGGGATCTAATCATGGACTGTACGTTTAGCAAAGCGCACGCTGTGCAAAAGAATAAATTAACAACAAAACTTGAGGACACTGTGAAAAAAGGGGGTGAATATAAATCAATGGACAGAGGACATTTTCAAAGTTCACCTCATTCAAAACTAATACAACCTGCAGTGATATAGAGATGTGACAGAGAATTCGGCACTGGGGAAACTGCTCTCTGCTTATCAGCTGGTTACCACCATAATCAATACATATCTCCTCATCAGCATGTTCCTTTCACAAAGATATGAATTCAAACCTGTTGTTTTTAATCCTGAGCTCAAGTAGCCGTTTCTGTGTTTTACAACAGGCCGGCGTAGTAAATGTTGGATCCCTGGAGTTAAGAGTTGTTCTCTCAACAGATGGGCTCGCTTTTTATTAGTCGCCTCTCACTTTGAAGAGTAATGATTTGCAGACATCCACTCACCTAATTGCGCGCTGGGATTCCGATAAGACGCAAAGCGCACGCTCCCTCACTCATAAAGCTCTCTGATCACTTTATTGCTGTATGACACGTTTCATTCGAACGTCCCTCGCGTTGCTGCTTTGGATTGTGCTGTCAGTGGGGCTTCGAACTTTTAAGAAAAGAAGATTTTTTTTTTTTTTTTTGTACCATCTCTCATCCTTGTATCTTTAGCAGATAATAAAAAAAGATAACATTTTCATACTTGATCTTGTTGGATGGAAAGTCTGATGGTAGATTATATAAAATACATTTTTGCACAGTTGTGCAGAGATAAAATCACAGCTCCTCCGGAGTAAATTTATAGAGTGAAATAGAAAAATCAAAAAAAAAAATGAAAAAAATCCGTTATATAAGTCAATGAGTGAGGATTATTCCAACAGAGCTGGCACAAACAGAGCTACGGTGTCGACTGAACACTCCTCACATGTGAGAGGGGATGTTTTTTTTCAATAAGTGACACACGTTTGTTTGTGGCGTAGAGAAAAAGCACAGATTAGATAAAGGCCTTTATGAAACACAAGTACTGCATCGGGGCTCTCTTGGGTGCTTCCGGCGTGATAACGATCAGAACTGGAGAAACGCAGGAATAGCCCCTTGCTGCCCTCCTCTCCCCGTCGCCTCCTGCGTGTCGCGTTGTGATCTTCACGAGGAAAGACCACAGAGGCGACCGCGGTTGGAAGAAAACCCCCGCGTGCGTGCGACCTGCGTGTGTCGAGCAGATAGCGAGGCGTACCTCAGACGGATGTGACAACTCGGCTTCCCGGGTGAAGATGAGTGCCAGACTTTTGAAGTTTCAACCGTATCCGTTTTCCCGCTGTGTCTTTGAAGAACGGAGACGGCTTGATAAAAAAAAAGAAAAAAGAAAACACTTGTGTCATGTGCTTAGGCTTGCCTTTCCCTTGATGCAAAATGCAACTGTCTACCCAACACACCTTTGTTTGTTTAGAGATGGGGAGATTTGGGATAAATCCCTCAGCAGCCCAGTTGGGCCAAGTTTTGTTGTGTGTGCAGTATTTTCTTCCCCTTCATTTTAGGAGAACGTTGACAAAGGCCGACTTTTTAAATTCACGCATCGCTTTCAATACATTTGTGCAGTTCTAGATGAGGACTTGAGGTCCGAGGTCTTTCAGCCGCTGTGCTAACTGCGCAGCTCTTAGATGCATTATTTTCTGGAGCTTCCTTTGGGAACATGTGATAGTCGCTGAACGTTTAGAGAACCAAACGCTAAAGCTTCCGAGGGTCTCTGTTTGGAGCAGAAGTTTAAAAGTTGTCCAGTGAATATCGCCAGGTACATTTTGTCTGTGCGACTGTTGAAGGGGTAGCTATGGCCGGGGGGGGGGGGGTCGTGGGCCTTTTGCGCTTCTGTCCTCAGATCCCCCCTGTCCGCATGTGGAAGCGTCCTTTAGCGAGACACTGAACCCGGAGGTGCAGCATCCCGCTGCTCCTGGAGGCTTTGCATTAGGTCACACGCAGAGGTCAGATCTAACGCGTGTGACCATAAAGATCTTGTTTAAGTTTCTCTAAAGGTAACAAAGATGTGCTTTGTTGGGCACACTGCTGCGTTGAAATGACAAATCCTTGACGTGAACAGGTTGCCTTGGGGTAACAGTTCCCTGGTCAGATGTCAAGTGAAACTGTAAATCTCCTGGTTGAGGCCCACTTGTCCTGGTCTGACTTTACGGGATTAAGGACCTGGCTGAGGGCGTCTGTAAGGTCTGTAAGCCTTTGTGGCTCCAAAACCTATTTTGGATACTTTAATTTTAAGGAGAAGCTTACAGGTCATAAAAAGATAGCCCCAATAACCCCCCCCCCCTCCACCGCTCGAGGTAACGTCACAACAGTGCTTAGCTTTTGACGCCCTGCAGTCAATATTAACGCCGCAAATGAGTTGCATCAGTAGCTTATGCATTTCGATACCCGGCCTCCCTCTTTTCCACCTCGCCCGATGCCAAAAGTAACATTATGGGCGTGTTTCTTAAATGTCAGCATACAGAAGCCGTGTCCCAGTTTGGGGGCTGGATCCTCGGAGGGCCACATTTCTAGACCGACTACGTCATGATGAGCCAACGAGTCCTTCCGCCCAGAAACGCTGCCCGCGTCGCGCAATCGGCATTTGCGAGGAGCAGTTCTTGTTGTTGACGTCAGAGGTGGGACGCGAAGGACTCCTCTCTTCGCGGACGTTGTTCTTCCAAGGATCATCGTACCTCTCTCTCTCTCTCTCTCTCTCTCACTTTAAGGATTTGTTCTTGCAAAGCCACAACTCCCCGTCATGTTTGCTACATGCCGTTAATTCACTGAAGTTAGAATAACAAGGACGGGGTATGTAATGTGTATATAATTAGCCACCTGAGAACAGTCACATAAAAAGCCATTACTGTGCAATTACCAGGCCGTACAGCTGGGGAAACGGTATCTTGGCGGGAAGTGAGATTCCTGGGCTCCTGAAAGTATACGTTTCCTCTCGCACCTCCACGTGTTGGGCGACGCGGTTGCTCGCCTGCGATTACCTCTCTTTTTTTTTTTTTTTTCGTCTGGTCCGAGGTGAATCGTAAATTCTGAAAACGTGGATTTGGGCGATTCGATCAAAAGGCGCAGGAGCCATTGGTGGTTGGAGGTGCCTCTCGCCACCTCTCGGCCTGGTCTCTCTCTCTCTCTCTGCCTGCTGCGTTTCCTAATTTATGGACCCTGCTTGGCCTGCAGGCAGATATTTGTTTGATGATAGTGCAACAGGTCTGGATGCTTCAGGTGTATAATTGCTGGTGGCCCGCTCGCTTGTGGAATAGGAGTAAAGGTTTCTCAATATCGCCGGGGGGGGGGGGGGTGCACGTAGCATACGGCCGCCTCAATGCGAAGCGGCAGGAGGTTGCGCTTTGCACTTGTCCCGTGGCTTTACGCTGACTTCATTAGCGCGTCTCGTACGGAGTTAACGGCTTGTAAATGCAACGCATGTAAAACGCGCCGGTTAATTAAAAGGGAGAAGAGAAAACACTAAAACGCGGCAGCCACAATTTTCCCGGTTGTTACCTCAGTTTTTCGCCCCTTGGGGCACAGTTCTTTTTTTTTTTTTTTTGACACGAGGCCCATAAAAACAAAAGCACACATCACCACCGACACCTGTGTGCCGTGACGATCTCTCACTGTCTCTCGCCCTGCTTCCTCTCGTCTCACACCTCTGTGCAGGAATCCCAGCAGACCACTGCCGATTTCAGGTTTTACATCGAGAACCACACCAGGAACCCGGACGACCTGAGCCGCAAGCAGGTCCGGATCTACCAGCTCTACAGCAGAACCACGGGCAAGCACGTCCAGATCCTGGGCAAGAAAGTCAACGCCAACGGAGATGACGGGGGCAAGTATGGTATGGGAGAACTCCTGTGCATCTCACGCCACATAGCTTTATGAGAGGAAGAGACGTCCCCCCCCCCCCCCGCTTTGCTCTGGGTGGGTACTCACCATTGTGTGGAGGTTGTCTTCCAGGCGGTCTTGGCAGAGTGCTGGTTGGGGTGGCTGCAACCACTGTGAAACTGCTGACCTTCTAATTGATGTTGCATAAGGGCATCCAGGCCAAGTCTTTTTCATTGATGGACTTGGTGGAATATATCTTTGCTGTTTTGGGTTGTGAACATTTAAGGATGTGTCGGAATCTACCGGGAGTTTTTTCACCTAATTGTGTCTTATTTGGAAAGGAAAACTAATCAAACCTGTATTGACCAAATTCAATGTATTATGTTTTATTTTCCAAACCAAACACAGGTTTGTGACTATTGCCGTCATTGAAAAAAAAAAAATCTGACAAATTCAAGCCTACCCCCCCCCCCCCCTTTCCAGCTGTGCCTTGATCAACCTTAAATATATCCTCTCTGTGCGGCCTTGTGGACAAATCCAGTACCGCGCGGCGGATGAGTGGATCGAAGGTCAGCTCTCTGGTGCCACTTGTTTCATGCTTTGATATTCAGCCCACGACCGCTGAGTCAGGGCCCTGAAGTCGGCCCTCGAATGCGTCTGAGCGAGTGTGTTCAGTTGCAGATGCGCCGAGGCGAAGTTTCCTCACTGCTTGTTAGAGCTTGAGTGGAAGCAGATCCAATTTTTCCCATGAGGCCTTGCCAATTCTACCCTCCGCCACCGCCCCCCCTTCCTCCCTCCTCCTCCTCGTCCTCCTCCTCCTCCTCCTCCTCCTCCCAATCCAGCTGCAGTACCTGGCACCTGTGAACTCCTTTGCACTCTGTAATAACGCTCAGGAAGACATTCCGCTCGCTCTGATCCGCTCTCGGCTCCGTGCAGCTCCGACGGCGGAGCGCCACTAACCACCGCGGGAGAAATCTGCCGCTTGGGTGCAGAGCTTTATGTCCGGACAAGCACAGTCAAAGAGCGGGTGGTGTCATTCTTCTCAGCTAATAGCGTGGCAGATTCGTTACTTTTAAGAGACGAATCCTTTTCCAGAGGAATCCGTCGGGAACGATGCCCTTTGTCCACTCGCAGCAGACGCCGGGTCACTGCAAAAAAACGCTTTTAAACTGGGAAAAAAATGCTGCAACGTGGAATCAAAGCAGGAGTTTCAGCTATTTTGACAGATGACCCCATGCTGAGGTTAATAAAAGCCAGTGGCCCCTCTTTGTTTACGCCGCCCAGAGGAAGAACTCCACTTCTTAAAAGATCCCTGCAAGTGCCATTTAGTGAATACATTGCTCAGATGTTCAAAAAGTTCCCGTCGCAATTGTTTTATTCTAAATGCCGACTGAGTGTTAATGTACAAAACACCACGCGGACTGTGACTGGATGCGGTTCAGATCGAATGAAACGACTCTTGTGTCTTTGTTAGTTCACCATCGGGGTTCACAGACGGAGGGCAACTCGCAGTTCGGAGTGGAGACCTCGTAACTGAGGTTGAATCTTGGGTCTCTGCGCGAAACCAGAGAACCAAGAGCGAGACGGCCGACGCGTCGTCATTTGACTCCTGATTCCATTCGCTTCAGTTTCTGAACTCGAATCTCTCCCAACCAGAGAAGGAGAAGTTGCACCTTTTTGGAGACAGGTTTCCCTCTTCCCACTCTGCTCCCAAGGTTGGATTTTAGCGTGAGGGAGGAGGAGGAGGAAGAGGAGGAGGGGTGGAAGAGGAGGAGGCGGAGGAGGAGGAGGGAGGGGGGTTTACTTCTGCCCTGGAGGCCGTCCCGTCCCCTTCGCCCATTCTTCCTCTGCTCCCTTGAGCGCCGCTGAATGGCCCTGTGTGTTAAACAAATGGATCATCTTAACTTTTTGATTGAGTGAGCACAGACTAAAGGGAACTTGAAACCTAATCCCGAGGGGCACATAACCGCTGCACAAATGTTTGGCAGATCTCTTTGCTGGTCGAGGGGCGAGCAGAGACAAAGGTGACCTCGCAGGGGTTAACATTTTGGAGGTGGGGAGGGGGGGGGATAAAAGAGCCGCCGGGATGCGTCTCGAGAGTGGATTACTGCTGTGTCGGGCCGAAGTGGCGGCGGCATTGTTGTCCTGGTTGATATATGTGTAAAGAAAGTTATACACTTACCGTAAAAGGAACTATGTGACCGGGAGTATAGATGTTCCGTCCTGTGGTGGTCTCAGCTCCTCAAGTACATGATAATACGCTTGATGTGATTTTAAAGAAAATACACTACAACACCACAACTGAGGTGGTAAATGAAGACATTTAACAACTCAAGTTTCTTTACGAGGCTCAGTGCTGAAGATCCACGTTGGCCTGCGGAGGAATTGAAAATAAGCACAATCATGTTTATATGATGTGGGAACTCCTGCAAATTGAGCATTGAATAAAAGCCAACTGCAAGAGTCCTTGGAGACGTTCCCCTAACAGGGTCCACTCTCTCTTCTCCTTTCCAGCTCTTCTCGTCGTCGAGACGGAAACCTTCGGGAGCCACATTCGAATAAAAGGCAAAGAGAGCGAGCACTACATCTGCATGAACGAGAAGGGCAAAATAGTCGGACGGGTGAGTTCCTCAAGATCCGCTTTCTCCTGCTGTTTTTGTAAACCCTCACAAAACCCCTTTGATGCCTCGCGGCCCTTCTTCCATTACGTAATCGGCCTGCTCCTTTGACACTCGATCAGTCAATTACGCACTGCAATCACCACAATGCATTGAGAGACTAATGGTCACTTAGGAGGAATGCCATTGCAATTATATCACTTAGTCACACCAGGTGGCCACAAGCGCGGGACGCCCGCCTGCGACCCCGCGGAGGCCACCCCCCCCCCCCCCCGTGTGCAGGAGGAAGGAGCCGACGTCTGAGAACACACACACACACACGCACACACACACACACACACACACACGGCGTGTCATCTGTCGGCATCCGAGGGGCCGAAGTTCTCACCCTCTCGTCGAGGTCGTCCGTCAGGAACATCGGCCCTCGCTTGCTAAGAGCGTCTGACGTCCTGCTGTGTACCAGCCGAGGATTGTTGTAGCAATCGGATCAGATGACGTTTCAACTATTGACTGCTGGTGGTTTTCTGCTTTTTTAATGATGAAGATCAGATAATTTTCTCTTGTCTTATTACCCAAATTATAAAAAAGTTACACATATATACGCTTTTGGCTTTGCCAAATGTTGCTTGTTTTGCGGTCCATCTTCTGAGATATTATTCAGAGATATTTTTCCCACCATATTATAAAAGTCTGCTGGAAAAATCTATAGTGTCATACGGTGATTCTATTAAAAATAGAGGCTTTTTCCCGCTATAGACAGTGTGCTGTGACCCAAGTAGAGAACAGTCTGCTATCAGGATCAGTATTAAACTTTTTCATATTTCACCAGCATGTTTTAAAAATGTTCCAATCAGTATTAGCGCCGTTACTTTAATGCAATAGTTTAACATTTCTTGGTTAGAGCAAGAGGAGAAGATTGATGCCGCTGTTTAACTATGCCGCTACTTCAAGCTAAGCTAAGCTAACCGGGTTCTCCAACTTTGCAAGTGAAAAAGGCTTTTCCCTGCAAAGTGAAAGTGTTCCTTAATGTGCTACGCATGTTTTGAACTCACACCGTCACACCAAGCTGGGGAATACGAGACAAAAAGCAAACCGCGGGAAGACGTCGCTTTAAAGGAATCGACTGTCATTCTGCCGCGTTGCTCTTGAGTTACGGTCTGTCGCGAAAGCGAAACACGGACTAGACTGGAGACCTGAATCAAAGCAATATGACAAAGTTTATTTGTAACAAGAGTATTCTGTCCTGCAGTTTAATGTGCACGGACCTATTTCAAGCAGTAAAAATAGAACAAGAATGCATTAATACAAGATGCGCTCGAATGATACAGTCTCTAAGAGCATTTCTGATTCGAGTGTAATTTCATTCTAGCGTAAGCGTGCATGTTGATGTTTCGATACTCAACGAATCCTGTCTCTCTTCCCTTCCCTCAGCCCGACGGGAGGAAGCAGGAGTGCGTCTTTGTCGAGGAATTCCTGGAGAACAACTACACGGCTCTCGTGTCGGCCAAGTACAAAGGATGGTACCTGGGCTTCAACAGGAAGGGGCGGCCCAAGAAAGGCTCGCGGACCACGCAGCGGCAGCAGGAAGTCCACTTCATGAAGCGGCAGCCGAAGGGCAGGCCGGACCCGCTGGAGGAGTTCCGGTTCACCACGGTGACTAAGCGGACACGAAGGGCTCGGCGGTTAAAGCCCAACCCCAAGAGGAACTGAACGGAACGTCGGGACAGCACTAGTTTTCCTCCAGGGGTCGGGCGGGTCGGGCGGGGCTGGCGGGGGGGGGGAATACGAAAAAAAACAACTAACTGAAAATCTCAAGCTTCTCGTGTGAGAAGAATCAGCTTAGGGACTTCACTTCTGTTAAAGGACGACGGACAAAAAGAACAAACACAAAAAAAGATGTTTTTATTTTTGTATTTCAGGATGACTGAGTATTTCCGAACTCTCGGATCCTTCTGGGTTGATGTCGTCGTTCTAACGTGTCTGTCATGTTATTTATACTGGATAAACTAAAGGACCTCTGAAGGCCCACTTCCTCTTTGACAAAGGGGACCGAAGCGTGGAGCTGATGCGACGTCGTAAAAATCAGCCAACCAGAGATTCATTGGAATACCTGTCGTTTTTTTTTTTTTTTTGTGTTTGTGTTGCCCCTGACAACGAGGATCCCATACTTTCCACTGGAATCAGACGCCATGGAGACGAAACGGAGGGAGCCGCCGCGCCGCCGGGATGACTGTGTAGCTTTGAGTGCAATATTTTACAGGTCGCTCTTTTCTCTTTTTTGTTTTTCCTTTTCTCTCTCTCTTTTTTTTTTTTTTTCCAGATGTCTCTCAGCTCCACTCGCGGCTCCGGGAATGCGGCGAAGCCTCAGAGTACTCTGTGTGATTTCCTTGACACTTCAGCTAAAACACGACATGCTTTGACTAGTCGGGCACCAGCCGCGGCTTTACTCTTGTTTAAACACCTTAAAAAAAAAAAAAAAAAGAAGAAAAAAAAAAGAAAACAACACAAGCAAAAAATATTACAGCTCACGTCATCCGTGATCGCACAAAGTCTTCCAGCCTCATCACATTTGGGAGCAGGATGTTTGTTAAAAAGCTCTTCCTCACGCGTGTCAACGTCTTCTTCAGAGAAGGATGAGTGTGAGCTCGCTGATGTTTCGGGGCGGGCGATGAAGACTTCCTCTACCTCCATGTTTATTTTTCTTTTTTCATGTATTCTGTGTTCGGTTAATCTCGAAGAACGTCCCCTCCCCCTCTTCAGAAATCACCTTTTGACTTTGAGCTCCATTAACTCACTGGATGGAAGTCTGGAAGGTGCTTTCTGGAGGAAGCTCATCCCTCCGACGACCCCCGATCACTTCACGAATCCACGACGGGGACGATTTTAAGACTTCGGCGGCAGAAAACCCGACTCGTCCGGGATTGTGGGAACGTTTTCAGCGACGCGGGTTTGTGTCTGAAAACCTAAAAAAGGGAAAAGTTTCTGCTTCGATCATTCCTTCTCTCACTGACAACCAGCTCCAGCCTCCCTTCACCTGTAGTATGTGTTCACCTGTCCGCTGGCAGGTTTTTGTATGACTCGCTACTAACAACATGACACATTTATTATTTCTTTCTTTCCTTTTTTTTTTTTTTTTTTTTTTAAACCAATGTAAGCAAAAATAATTTTATGACTATTATTAAGATATTTATTGCCTCCCGTTGTAAATAAAATGTGATGAGTTTTATTTGGCCTCTGTTAATAAAATGAGGACTATATTTTAAAAAAAGAACTATTTTACGTCTTCATTGCACTGGAGGAAAGCTAATTTATGTCCCCGTTCAGAAAGGAATCTTTTAGATGTGCACGTTGAAATATCATGTTGCCTAAAATAGAAATTCAGCAGGTAGCGATTACTTCGACATAGAGCACATTCCCTTCTCTGCATACTGCCAAGGTATGCATTATTATATACAAATCCAAAGTATGAGCACTGCTTTTAAGGTCAGTGGTTTAGGACCTATTGCAACATCCCTGAAGGCAAAAGGGCTGCTTGTTCCTTTAAGCATCAATATTTGGCAAAGAAAGAGACATTTTAATCTTTGTATTAGTTCTTTTTTCCAGATACACATGCATTACAAAACAGGATTAAATATTGCATTACCACGTCATAGCTGAACTGAGTGGCACAAAAAGTCAAAGTCCCAGACCCCCAAAAATAAGATTCTTATTATTTGAGATTTAAGAGGGATCGGAGATGTTCCCTCGCTGACCTTTTGAGCACTTAAAACGCAACTCGCTTTCATGTGCAAAACCCGTCCGCCCGGGCCAGCAAACGCACAATATTTTAGACATTTTTTTTCATCTTTTAAAAAGCGCTGTGGAATGCGGAGTGGCATGTCTTATAACGCTGTTTGCTGGAATGATGTTTACAGTAACCGTCAGACTGAAAGATGGCGGCTTTGAGGGAGAAAAAAAAAAAAAAAAAAAAAAACGAAAAAAGTACTTTTGTTTAAATTCCTGGCGATGCTATCAGCCCCCCTCCACTCCAGCAGTTCCCTCCAGCGGACCCAGAAGCCCCCCCCCCCACCCACTCCGTCATGGGATTGTGGACGTCTGGTCTGCTTTTAAAAGGTGGGAAACGTAACGCTTGATGTGTGACGTGGTAGTTCACCATTAACCTAATGGATGGGCAATGGCGGGGCAGCGTGTCTGGGGAGGGGGGGAAGGGGGGGGGGGGTTGCTAAGACGACTGAAGGTGACAAGGTAGCGCAAAATAAAAACTATTTGCACGGTGTTTTCAACACGCGTGTCGCCGTCTAAAGATGTTTGATGTCCTGAACAACCGGGAGTTGAAAATCTGGAATTTAATCCGCTCTCCAAAACGCTCCAAAATCTATTAATGCGAATGAGGAGCTTTTCTTCTTCTTCTTTTTTTTTCTTCTACCCACATACTTCAAACTTGACCAAGCAGAGCCAAACTGCATCTGGGTATATTGACATTCAAACGAGCGGCGATGGTTTCCAACGCGTCGGCCCGGTTCGCAATAAGGAGACGACATTTTGCATAAGCCTCCCGCTAAGCTTTTCTCTGACTCAAGTCTTTGATCATTGGAGGCTGGATGCTCTTGGAACTGGACCAATAACCTCAAAATGAAACATAGGATTCCCTTTTTGCGAAGACCGGCCCCCTTTTTTCAGGAGGAGGCGGAATCCTTCACTGCCAAGTAGTTTATATTCTATTATTAGAAAATCTCAGCTTGCTCACACTGTGCACAATGGATACAGTGTGAAGACAAAGCAACGGAGCGAGAAACCTTGTGGTTCTCCGTTGACTTCTAAACATTTCAGTGGAACGACCCGAAGCGGTTCTTCGGGCCCGAGGTCAGAAACCACATACTTTACAATTAGCCCTGTCAACAGAAATGTGTTCTGTTCGAGACCTGAAACAGAGTTTTTGTCTCTGTGAATATCACTGAAACTGTCCCTCGGGGTCAGTGAGAAAACAAACGCCCGACGCCAAACAAAACACAAGACGAGAGTTTGGGCTGTAATACACCTCGTGTCGTTAAATGCAGTTTTTGCGTCACGTCATTTACTGTCAAAACAGGACCGCCGAGCCGAGCGCTGAACCGCAGGCGGCCGGTCGCCTTTTATGGCCGAGAATCGCAGAGTGTTTCACAAAGTATTTTTGAGCGCACGGCTGAGTCGTGTTTTCACAGGATTACAAATGTGCTTACTGTACGTACAGTTTTCTGGAAACCTCTTCTGCGTTCCCCCCTCGCAGCAACATGCGGCCCGGCGTGTTATGAATACGGGTCAACGTGAAGGTTCAGCGCGTCAGCATTATTGCATTCAACTCAGCGTTTAAAGCCCCAATAAATACCAATGTGTTTGGTGACGTAAATACAAAGACTATTCATAACTGAGAGGTTTGACTTTACCTTCAGCAGGAATGTCCAAACTACTCATAAAGGCAGAGGGAGCTGTATTATTATTATGTGTTATTTTTGATGCTTTGAGCAGAACGAGCAAATCTGCATCCAAGTCAGGCGACTCAAACATCTAAAATTGATCAAATCTAAAACGGCTCTCTGGAGTTTTGTCACGTGACCCACAAAGATGGGCTCGAAACGACATACTTTCCTTTTTCCTCTTCACTCTCACCTCGGTGGGGGGGGGGTTGTGCATCATCGTCCCGTCTAACGCTGCAGCAGAAAGGGGGACATGGCGTGATGAACCGCGCGTAAACATGCGCAACCACCTCGCCACTCTGTCCCTCGTGCACCCGGACGCACACAGACGCGGCAGTCAGGCCTCGTCCCCCCGGCAGCATCAACAGATGCCAGGTGACACAGCTCATTAACTTCTCCTTTCTCCCATTCTTCTGGCTCCTCATTGTCTTGAGATATGAGATGAGCCTTTGTTGAGAGTTTTGCCCCGTTTCTCTGGGCCGTAATTAGTGCTCTGCGCTGGCCGTACTTTCTCACAGGGCCACGACACAATTAATCAGCACTTTCCCACCAATGGGCACAAGCTGCTTGGTTCTATCAAGGCCACATTTTTACGTCGTGACGCCTTTTTCCAGTGATGGAAACACCCGGACACGGCGATGATTGTAGGATGCTAGATGAATGCATGCATTGCATCACTTTATCCTCGTTGGTATTGTAAGATATTAATCGGACGGGACTTTTAATGCTCGTTTTAATCCGACTGAGGGACAGATTTGCGGGGTTTGAATATAGCAGTCCTCTGGAATTTTGATATAAAGATCAACCTTTCTTTAATGCAAATTCTACTTGGCTCTGATGACGTTTCGAGAGGTTCTCCTCTAATTTATCCTTTCTTATGTTGAACCGACAAAGCTGTGTGCCACGATTCTATTGGCTGGCTTATACGCTTTTCTTTCACCGCTGCACCTTCTTTCATTCGAGTTTGTTTATGTCCTTAAATCTGTGATGTTCGGTTGGTTATTATCAGAATCGCAGGGCAGTTTTGAAATCTTCAATTAAACTCTTTAATCCACTCTGAGAGACGAGAACACAGATAGTTGTAGATTATGAGGATGAGCAAAATGTATGAAAGGGCAAACAAAATGTGACATTTATACGAAAACACACAAAAAGTAATACTATAATATTAGTATATAATAAGTACTATAGTTGTAAAATTGACAACGATGCCACTGGTGTGAATTTTTAAGTTGTCCGGTTTTGGCGTTTTCGGGAACTCTGTATAACACACAAATTATCTTTGGACAAAGAGTGTAATACGAACCGGATGATACCTTGCTGCTGTGTGCGATGAAGGCTTTTCACACTCACAAAATCCATAAACCTCCTGGTAATGATGAATTGAATTAACTGTGTTGATATATGAATTGTACCATGAAATAGTAAAGTGGTCAAATCAAACTTTTTCACACCAATAAAAACATTTTATAAGACTTTTTAATCCGAACTAAATTGGCTTTTTCACTAAATGCAAAGCTACCTACATTCATTTAGGGGAATAACCATTGACGCGAAAAAATACTGGTTAAAAAAAAACATCCTAATGTGTGTGTGTGTGTGTGTGTGTGTGTGTGTGTGTGTGTGTGTGTGCGCTGGCCAATTACATCAGTGAGAGGACTGCAGCCTCCTCGGTCCGTCCATCAGGATGTAGCCGTTTCAAATAGAGCTAAATCTGTTCAGAGACAAACGAAATATGGGTCAACGTCACGTAATGTGTTTCCTTTTTACTGTTTCACAGACGTGACACCTGCAACTTGCCGCGCTGCCCCATTGGCTCCAATGGAACTGGCACCAAGCCTGGCGCCAAGGCGGCGTAATGATCCGTCCTTCTTTTATTCATTCATTGCTTTACATCTGCGCAATCAATTTAATTCCACACTGCATTCAAATAAATGACATGCAAAGCTGTGTCCATCTCCAATTTGTCTTTTGCTGAGTGTCAATGGGTGGAGGAAGAGGAGGAGGAGGAGGAGGAAGAACGGTAGGAAACACAAGCAGAAGGAAACACACACTCGAGCAGACCTTTCACCTGGAGGTCGAAGCGCGACTCCTCTGCCGCCATCCGGACACATGTTTTCATGATCCGAGACGAGCGACCCCGAGATGAGTGGCCCCTCTCCAAAACAAATCCCTCTCCCACAATCCCATTTAAAAAGGAATGAGAGAGGCAGAGAGGGAGGGACGTTGGGTGGGCTCCTGGTTGTCGTTGGGGAGAAAGATGGGGCGGGGGGCTCAAAGAAGAAGACTGAGACGAGACCCCGGACGACCAAAAATCACCCTCGACATGACGCCGCTCACAGACCGGCTACTCGCTGTGCCAGATCTTACCCCTCGCCACTATCATATCATTGTACAAAGAGAAAAGGGCTCACTTTTTATTTACGCCGCCGTTATTGCCGGAATATTGATTTTAATTGCTGTCCCGCATTCCCCCCGCTGCGGTATAGGACGAGCCTGAGACGATTACTCAAAGTAATGGAGCATAATGATGTCTCGGAGCGGCCCCTGAAGCTCAGGTCAGGGGTTGGACAATGTGAACATTCAGCTACTTAGCTTCCTTTGCAACTTTGTGACAAAATCTGTTTGCCCAACACCAATTAAGATGCCTCTCTGTGCGCTCTGGTCAATGGGTTTGACGGAGGGGGTCGTCCAACGAGT